CTTGCTCAGCAGGAGCGGATGGTTATCGAAAATGCCATCTACTATGTCGACCCACCACCACGCCCGGCGATCCAGCAGAAGGAACGTACACCCATGGAGCAGTACATCCGCCGGCTAATCTACCTGGATATGAACAAGCGGAATTACACCAAGATCTTGAAATCCATCCGCAAGCTTCACTGGGAGGAGCGCGAGGTCGTCGAGATTCTGGAACGCGTGTTCAGCAAACCGGTCAAGGTGAAATATGGCAGCATTCACCTTTTGGCAATCCTCGTCAGTGCTTTGTACCGGTACCACCAGGATTTCGTGATTGGTATCGTCGACAACGTTCTGGAGCAGGTCACGCTTGGCCTTGAGCAGAACGACTTCAAATTCAATCAGAAGCGCATTGCGGACATCAAATACCTAGGTGAGCTCTACAACTACAAGATGATCGATTCCCCGGTGATCTTCGATACGTTGTACCGCATTATCACCTTCGGTCATGAAGGTGGTACCCCGGCCCCTGGAAAGATTAGTATGCTGGACTTGCCAGACGACTACTTCCGCTTGCGCTTGGCGTGCACTCTTCTTGACACGTGTGGCCACTGCTTCGACCGTGGCTCTGCCAAGAAGAAACTCGATTTCTTCCTTGCCTTCTTCCAGTACTACTTATTTACCAAGGATCCGTTGCCCATGGATGTGGACTTCCTTGTCCAGGATACGTACCACTCTATTCGCCCGCAGTGGAAGCTTGCTACTGAGGCTGAAGAAGCGACTCGGATTTTCAGCGAAGCTGTTGCACTGAACTACAACGTGCAGGATTCCGAGAGACCTGTTGAAGCTGACGAAGAAGATGCGGAGAGCAGCTCTTCTGATGAGGACCTTGAGGAGGATGCTATTCCCGAAATAGACGAAGACCAGGAATCCAGCGATGAGGCCGAAGTAGGTCCCCCATCTCGTCTGCATGAAGTACGCCCCATTAACCCGTTTAACCCGTCGAAGGCATCTGGACCCAACCCCGAGGTAAACGAGGACAGCGATAGCGAGTCTGAGGACGAACAAATCGTTGTCACCAGACAGGAAGAGGAGCGAGACCCAGTAACCGAGGCTGAATTTGATCGAGAATTCGAGAAGATGATGGCTGAGAGCATGGACTCGAGACGGTTCGAACGCAAGACCGTCTTTGACATCCCTCTTCCTATGAAACGCCCCCGCGAAAACATGCCCAGCGATTCTAGCCCTGAGCCAGTGCCGGCCGAACCAGTTGCGCCTAAGACAATGGCCTTCTCCCTAATGACGAAGAAGGGAAACAAGCAGCAGGTAGGACTTTCCATCTTCATCCACAATATTTTTTCAGAAATTTGCTGATCATATCTAGACCCGCACCATCGATCTTCCATCGGACTCGACCTTTGCTATTGCCATGCGGAGCCAGCAACAAGCCGATCGGGAAGAACAGCAGCGCATCAAGAACCTGGTGCTGAACTATGAGGCGTCCACCGAACCAGAACCGACCGAGAGTGAGCAATATCCCCTGGTTAACCGGAAGAACTTCCAACTGAGATATCCCAAAGCAGCAACCCAGGAAAAGCGGACCCCCACCGGCCAGCGGATGGACAAAGCCGGCGCAAACCGGTCCGCTTTCCGTTCCCGGAAACTCCAGCTCAGCGACGTCAATTGGTAATGAATGCTGCCACTTTCTGGACCGAGGTCCATATCTCATATCTTCACTTGACACAGCAGACAGCACCTTTCCCGTGGAAGGTTGCCATCCCGCCATGGAACAATTCTTTCATCTCTGCACTGCCCAGTGTGAAAACTCTTGGTTCAACTCAATGAGCTTATCTATGGTATACTTCGCACAATGCGAGTATGCAATGCCGTATGAGTACGACCAGAAATCCGTTCTTGCTAATGGAATCTACCCCGAAATTGCGAATGCCATCGAAATGGATGCACTCTGTTGCTGCTCGGGATCCTTCTTTTATCACTTTCCCATCCCGGCTGGTGTTCCTGGGCTGGTTGGAGAGCTCGATGTTACCGCATACACAATCCTGAATCCCGATATGGTCGCCAATTTATCAATCACCTGGCGAAATACATCTCCACTTTGCCGACACAATCGTGAAGATCGTACAGTATTCGATCTAGGAGTGATGGGGGGTCAAATGGCTCGGAGAATTAGAGAATCAATCAGACTGGGTGGATGCACAAATATGAAGTTATGCCACGAGTGTATCTCTTAGCTATGATCTCTATTGTCTAGCAGTAGTAATCAATGTAACGGATTTAGTTGAACCATGAACATGAGATCAAAAACAAAGGGATTGTTTTCATGGAGTTGCCCTCTTATCTCTCCTTATTATGCTGGGCTAAACGCATTTGTATGTCCCAAAAGCTACTCTCGCCTGACGTGTCTTGGTAAAGGAAAACTTTTGAACCAGCATGTTAGCACAGCATGAAAATACTGCTTAGACAGTGTGATCTAATGGTACTTGTTTCGGTCTGAGAGATCTGTGTTTTCAAGGTACACCTCGATCTAAAGAAAGAGGCTCATTAGTGCTATTCACGGTGATAGATCCCCTAGACGGAAAATGTGTCACGTACCTTGTTGGTCATCTTTGAATCGACATCCTTGCAGCAAAGACAAGCGGCAAGACCCAAGATACCGAAGGCCATCGATACCATAGCCACCACACTAAAAGAGATTATTAGGAATCGCTGCTTCACCCCCTATCTCCTCTGGAGAGTGTGGGTAACAGTTGCGTTATTATGTGTGCTTACAAGATCGCTTTGCAGTAGGCTTGGCTGAGAGCCGCCTCTGCTGCTGCCACCACAGCAGGGCTATATGATTCCATTGCAGTGGCACCTTTAGATACCACAGCCATTAAGTCTGTGACCTTGGGCTCCGGGAGTCCTGCGGAGATGGCAGCGGAGGGGACATATATAGCCGTATATTTCGCCAATGAGTTACTGTAGACCGTTTGGTAGATTGAGGTCGCAACTAAGAGTGAGATTAGCATGATCCAACACAACAGAGTAGTATGAGTAGCAAAACTGAGCAATGAACACAGAAAAAGGCATACCAGCTCCAGCAGCAAAGCGAATGCACCCGGAGATACCACCACTGACACCAAGATTCTTATGCTCAACACCCATCTGCGTAATAGCAATACTCAAATAAAGAGCCCACCCAAAGCCAGCCTGGGAGAGGAAGATAAAAGCAATCATAGTCCCCTTATTAGTCGGCGTGACAATACCAAGCAACGAGCCAAAAACGACCATAACAAACACCGACCCGGTAAGCTGCCAGTGCCAATACCGCAGCTTACTACCAAAGCAAGTGAGAAGGATAGCACCGAAGAAGATAGCGAAACCCTGCGGCAACGACAAAATAACAGAGTACTTCCAGTCCGCACCGCCATCCGTATAGAATACGGTGATCATCTGCGGCCACAAAATGCTAGACGAGTAGTAGAACATATTAACAACGCCGAGCGCAATGACAGGTGCTGTGAAGTCGCGACCCCACGAGCTGGCGAAGACATAGCTGGGTGTCAGTGGGTATTTCAGTTTGCCGAAGGACTCCCACAGTGCGAAGCAGATAAGAACAGCCGCGCCGACGACCAGCGGAGCGACGACGTGGACGTCGTTGGAGTCGTACACGCCGGCCCAGACAATTCCCATTAGGAACGGAACTGCGCCGCCGATGAAGAGGAAGGCGCCGAGGTAGTCTAGGGATTTGAAGGCTTCTTTGTATGGGATGCCGAGGCTGGGTTGGGCGGTTAGCTTGATCGGTTTCAGTGGATTTTGGGTTGGGGCCGCTTACGGGTGCTTGGGTGGGTGGTAGAGGAATAACAGGCCGAAGAATGATAGGCCTTGGAAGATGGCCACGCCCCAGAAGTTCCAGGCCCAGGTTCCAAGCTCGTAGCCATAGCGGGCTGTCACTGGTGCGATAATGACGGCTATGTAGACTGTGAAATCGGCGATCACGACTCCGATGTGTCGCCATTTATTAGGGAGAAGTTCTGGTAGGGCGAATGCAGCCATCTACATTGTGAATGATCTTTTAGCTGGAAAAGTTGAAAAAGAGATCAGAATCGGCTCATACCTGACAGTTTGCGCCGCCAAAACCGGAGATAACGAGACCGGCAATGACTTGGTTGGTGCTCTTGGCTGACGCTACCACGATATGGCCGATAAAACATACCTAGAGCATTGCAATGTTAATATTAAGCTGTATACCGGGCTGTGATCAAATTTACCAGATTGCCCAAGACCAAGAACCAGCGTCGACCTAAAAGATCGGTGTTTGGGCCACTGTGAGAGTTAAATGAGCTTTGGGGTGTGAAGATATTGGTGTTTCAGAAGCATACAAGATCAAGAAAGCGCAAGTGATCGAGATAGTCCAAGCCTGTAATTGGATTAGTGCTTTCCATTGTTTTGAACAATCTTTACGTACTGGAACAAACCAGATATATCCAGTCGGATCACCCATATCAGCAGAGATCATGGTGCCAATTGCCGACACGACGGGGATAGGCCAGAAAGAGAGGCCATAACCACAAGAGAGAATCTATATGCACGATGAGCATGCACACCATAGTTCACTTATCACATACATACCGAAGATACAATCCATGTCTTCAAAGTGACAACCGGCTCAGTTGTTTCATCGGCACAAGGCGAGCTTGGTGTCTCCGGAGAACCAGCCAGCACCGAATCCTTTTCTGTGTCCACAGCCATGCTGGAATTCGAGAATGCAATGGATGAAAAGGGGGAATTCGAAAGAGAAACAATTTTAACAATAAACTTCTCCTATGATTCAATCATATGAGGAGGGGGGGCATTCATTACTCAGTGGCTCAGGATCGTCTCGCGCTAACATCCACTCCAATATGAGGACAAATCCCTGAGGATTGTGTCGCACACTGCGATCTGATAGACTTTGGCCTCTTTTATTCTCGATCAAAGTTCTTTCCCCATTAACTATCAAACACTATCACATCGCAGCTCATATGATGGACACACATATTGAAACCTGGGTAGCTATCGTCGCAGGGGCCACTGTCAGTACAATGAAACCGACTACGCAGACCCGCTATCAGTCGCTGACCAGAGATCCGTTACAGTCTGGCATGGGAATTGACCTCGCCAAGAACCTCTGCGCGAAAGGATGGAAGGTGGCTTGTGTAGGTCGACGCCAGGAGGCCGGTGAAGCCCTCCTAAAAGACCTACCGCAGGACAGAGCGTGCTTCTTTGCCGCGGATGTCTCCAACTACGAAGAGTACGCGAGTGTATTCAGCAAAGTGCATCAGCTCTGGGGGCGTATTGATGCGTTATGTGCCAACGCCGGTATTGTCGATACGTCTTCCCTTTACATCTACGACTCGAAGAACAACAGCGTTGACAACATCCCGTCGGCACCGGATCTGTCTGTTGTAGACATCAATTACAAGGGTGTTGTGTATGGCACCCAGCTGGCAATCCATTTCATGCGCCATAATCCGCAGCCTGGTGGTCGTATTGTCGTCACGGGTAGTATTGGCGCGGTCTTTCCACACGAATCGTATCCGGTATACTGTGGCACTAAGGCTGCAGTGAATCACTTCATCCGGGGTGTTGCCCCGTTGCTGAAGCAAAAAGAGAATATCCTGATCAATTGTGTCATGCCAGGGATTGTGGACACGCCCATTGTGCCACCCGAGATGATTGCCGCTGTCACTCCTGAATGGTAAGACTTCGCGTGGCCCTCGAGCATCCATGCACAATACTGACATCACTTTGAATCTAGTCTCACCCCTGTGCGGACTATCCTCAAAGGATACGAAACGTTTTTAGAGGACTCGACGGGAATGGCGGGCGAGCTATTAGAGTGCTCGGCCGACAAGCTGATCTACTACCAAATGCCCGAACCTGGAAATGGCCATATCACAAAGCGAGCTGTCACAGTCTGGGAGCCACTGTTCCGCATCATGCACGGCGAAGACTCTGGGCTGCCGGACGCCATCCCGTGAGCATCTCGGGGGCGTCAAAGTCCAACCCGCGACTGTGGAGTACCATTGCCCTAACTGGCTAGCGTTATAAAGAAAAAGAAGTACAGATTGGCTCCACCACCACGGGCTGCGACGATCTTCGCCCTATTTTCGCCCTTGAGCTTATACCTTCCGTGTCAAAACTCATCAAGCGAGCCAATCATAGCTTTGTTTCTGTAGTCGCGCATTTGTCTTGTTCACGGCGTAAAAATGTGATCTATCATGTGTCAAATGGTTTCTTTAATTAAGCTGTTCCTCGTGTTCCAAGACTTGCTCAAAATCCACTAGCCTCGGTACTGGGCCGTGTCTTACACGCTTAAACGCTCTGCTCCTGATGGCCCACCATGCAACGGTGATGTGCGACCCCACAAGGAAGTGATGCCCATCCCGGACCGTCAGTTCATGTATGGGTACGGAGGACGGAGTACTCCATACAAAGTACAAGTCGAGAGTCGAGTTCAACCTCGCCTCACTACTTGATTGGCCCATGTAGTCGATGGCTATCGCCATGAGCGAAAGCACAGAATACTGTGTACATCCGCAAACGACCCGACAAATAGTCTAGGTTGCAAAATTGCCGATCCGGTTAAACATCCCTGCAACCAGTGGAGTACATCCTTGTTCTCGTGTATTTATTTGTGTTTCTCTTTCGGGGCCATCCTTTAGGGGCCATCTCTGCATGGGGAAATTGCAGAATTTTCCCTTTCCCTGACGGAGTCGGTATTTCACCAAAGTTAGCCCCAATCGTCTTGCCTGGCCCACCCGCGCTCTCGGGTTACGTCTGTGAAGACGATTAGTTACTTTATTCTCGTATAAGTCCGGACGATCTCAGCAGTGTCTCAAATAAGAGTTCATACCAGCCCGAAAAGAAGGCAGACAAGCCGAAGGAATTCCAACGAGGATCATTAACTATTGCAGAGACGGAGCAATCCGACAATAGGGCTAACCACTTGTACCTACAAGTGGCGCCGATGATCTTACGATATAATATCTCCAAACGGACCGATCCCGCTACCTACCCATTAAGAACAGCACCCACCTGATTCTCGACCACCGTCGCGTCCATGACCTCACGCATACCCTCATCACAAAAGGAATGCTGATCTCGGAAATAAAACCCGCTATCGGAAATCTCCACCGCAACTCCATACAGCTCCTCCAGGGGCAAGTGTCTACCACGCGTATCAGTCAGTCCCCGGCCCGCGGGTTCACCACTATCCACGAGCTGGAGCACAAGCCGGGCAATCGTTTCCACATCGATGAATCTACCGGGCGGGAAACTGTCCCAGCCCGCTGAGTCAACAAGATTGGTGCGCACAATTCCTGGGCAGATGGCGTTGACGCGGATCCCGCTTGCGTGGAAGTGCTGTGATATCGATCGCATGAATCCTACCACTCCGACTAGGCTGTGTTAGTCTTGGTCATTTAAGCAAAATAAAAAACAACATCGTAGTTGATATGCAGTATGCGGATGCCATCGTGGTTGTATATCACATTGATATCATACGATGGTATAGTACAATAGTACGCGGGGGCAAAGGCAATACTGTAGGGCGACTCACATTTGGCCGCAGAATACAGCGGCGAATAGAAAGACGGATACAAACCACCACAGCTAGCAGTCATAACCAAGCTCCCGCCTTGGCCCCTGTGAGGTGAGTGACGGAAATAATGCTGGGCCAAGTAAGCCGTGAAAACGACGCCTTTCAAATCAGCCTCGATCGAGAGCAGGTCCGGCTCGGGCGGCGGGCACACATCCCTGCTGTTCTCTGCTTGTGGTGTGGAGTAGAAATTGGTGCGTTCGATGACACCTGCGTTTGCGAATACAAAGTCCAGCTTGCCATGCTGTTGGAACATGCTCTGAAATGTGGCAGCAAGATCGCTGTATTTGGTCACATTGGCGTAATGGAATGTCGTCCGGGCTAGTTCTTTTGCTGTATGAACTCCGCGCTCTGAGTTGATGTCGAGGATATGGATTTCCCAGTCTTTTTGTAAGGATAGGGCGTTGGCTACAGCCAAACCCATCCCACTGGCTGTGAATTGGTTGGTTTTAGCATCTTTTTGCGTGCTATTTTATGCAGGGATTCACACCTCCTCCTGTGATTAATGCGACTTTGGTCATTTCTCGGTGATTTTGATGCTGTCCAGGTTGGGCTGTTATTGCTTTGAAGAACTTTTATAATATCCGTAGGTCCTTCAAATGGGATGAATCCGTAGCAGGCTATGATTGTCTTTTTTGCCTTCAAAATCTTCACAGCTGGGCTACCTCTTTCTCGAAATGATAATCCCTAACATGGTCCCGACAATCTCCGGGCTCGTGAAACAGCCAGGCCTATCGTTTCGCGAGTAACAGTCGTCTTTTGACAGCTCCACTGCTTGGATTCCTCATCTAGAAGAGCTGATGTCTCACATTCAATGTTTTGTTGATTTCGACAATCACGATTCAAGATTAGACATCTGATGCATAATTGCATAATTGATTTTTCAATTGAGAACCCAAAGCCCATTAGACTCCACATATCAATCCTTTGTCGTGGGGCAAACGCCCCTGTCCAAATCCTGCAGCAAGATTGGGGCCATACAAAGTCTGTCCTAAATAGGGGTATTGTCGTCAGGCAAAAAGTCGAGTCCTTCTACTCCGCACAAAGTATAAATCCTGTGAAATCCTATCAAATCCTTTTCAGGAATGTGTCCCGTTGCCCGAGCATGATCCCACGGAAAATATACGTATGTTGTAACAGTGTCCCCATCATCACGATCGTATATCAGAGTGGGTTACGAGCGACAAAAGTATCGATCCATCATCGACACGTTCTTCGGGTTTAGTGGACTGAACGGTATACCGATCCTACAACGGATCTGTCTCCTAGACCTTGGCTTGATCTTGAAGTAGATCGGCACAAAGACATCTAGCGAGTTTCATGTTGTGGCAAGAAGGTTAAAGGTGATAGATCCAGTTGATCGCACCTCTGCTTGTGGTCGATTGATATTAATACCGCGAGATTCTTCTCCATACTGCCTCTCGGTGATATATTTTGCCAAGGCATCCAAAGCGCTTTTTTAACGAGTGGACGTTGACATTGTTCTCAATATTCACCATGGCCGCCAATGCCTTGACGATTGAAACCTTCACTGAATATGGAATTGGCATGCTCTTCCTCTTGGTCCGGTTATATGCTCGACTATATGTAGGAGGTCTTCGCGGCCTCCGCCTGGATGACGTTTTTGCTGTTTCTGGCATGGTATGTACGGGCTATCCAGGCTTTGCTGGATTCGCTTTTGACAACGTCATGACAGATATTTTGGTCCATGCAGACTGCTATCATCCATCTTCTGGGTAAATACCAACGAATGCTGAATATCTCTTACAACACAGCTAACATCTAAATAGGGGTGTATGGCAACAATATCGGGTTAAACGAGCAAACAGCTATGCTTGTCCCAGACAGCAAAATATCCCATATGATCCTCGGATCAAAGCTGGCCTTCATGAACTGGATATGGTACATCTGCTATATTTGGTGTCTGAAGGGTGTTCTTCTTTGCCTTTACTGGAAACTCACGTATGTCAATGTGCCCACATACGTTGGTATTGAGCATATCTAAAATTCTACAGACAAGGAACTTGGCACCGTCATCTCGTTACAGGAGCTGCAGCATTCTGCGTGATTACCTGGTTGATTTGCCTATTGACACACATCTGCATTTGCATGCCAGTTGAGCAGAACTGGCAGATCAAACCCTACGCAGGAGGCAAGTCTCGACAGCCATATTGACCCGACAACCACCAACTAACCGAAACAGACAACTGCACTCTCCGTGAACCTCTTTACATTGTCATCGCCGTTTTCAACGTATTGCAAGTCACCCCCAAGAGGCCCCAATTTCCGGAACTCCATCCTAACACCAAGACAAACAGGTCCGACGCTTGCATAATCCTGATCCCAATCCCAATCCTCGCCAAACTCCAAATCCCACTCCAGCGCAAGATAATCCTGGTAGTCATGTTCTCCTCAGGAATCTTCATTATGATCTCCACAATTCTGCGCGCTTACTACTCACTCTCATCCATCACGAACCTCGGCACAGCACTCGGCTGGGCAGACCGCGAATGTTTCGTCGCAGCCATCGTTGTTTCCCTACCCGGCATCAAACCGCTCTTCCGCAACACGCGCTGGCTGGGCTCGTCGAATCGCAAGAACTCCAAGAATCCGTACTACAACAGCGATGGGTACAATGGGGCTGGGTCGAAGTCCGGAAAGACGAAGACGTTTGTTTCGTCACGGTCTCGAAAGAGTGGCGGGTTTGAGCTGGATGGTGTGCTGAATACAAATAAGGGGAGTCGCGTTTCCGATGCGGGGAGTGAAGAGTATATTCTTGAGGGAAGTCAGCATGTGCCAGCTGGTGCTGGGCAGCGGGATCCTATGGCCATTCGGGTTACGACGGAGTATACTCTTGAACGTGAGCAGGGCAGGTCGGATCAGCGGAGGTCTTAAAAGGTGTAAACTAATGGTGCTTGTATTGATAACTTTGGGATATGAGGTTGGAGATTGTCTAAATGATAAGAGTCGCTCATCAAAAATTAGGAAGTTAACGACATTGTCATGTACTAGACTTCCACGTATTCGTTTGGGAGGCTGAGAATCATTTTAGGAAGACAGAACTGTCCTACAATGGTTGCAGCTTCTAGTGTTCCAACAACTTTCACTAGTTATGCCCTCTTCATTCGAGAGTCTTCAATGCGTCGTTCTATTGCGGAGGAGAGAACGTCTACATGTAATGACAAATTTCAGAAGGACGCTCGTGTACTCTCTTCCATTCACCATGCTCGCCCATCGTAGAAAAGCCCTCCAGCCCGGCGCCACAGAGAGCAACCTTCACCCACATAACGTCCTTCACGGTATATCCTTCGATAGGATCGTAATTATTGATCGTTGGACGTATGGACTCCGCCTCCTCGTCTTCTAGATCTTCGAGATCGTGGTCGTCAAGTGACTCTGCTTCCACCACCCGTTGAGCATATTGACGAATGTGTTTTTATTAATGCAGTCCTCAAGAGGTGCTTGGAGAACACTCCACAATGACTCTTTATCAACAGAGAGACATAATCTATAGCGCTGCTTCAACGTTGGCGAAACTGAGCCTATCAAACGAAACGCCCTGCTCTTCCTGAATAGCAGTTATTGTCCTTTGCTGGAAATGTCCCCGGATCGTAGCTGTGCTTGCACTTTCGAATTGTGCTTGATTCTCAAAAACGGTGGTCTTAAAACTCTCAAGGAGGTCAAGATCGTTCCAGTGCTTAAGAGAGTCAGCGACATGCTACCGGTAGCGACGGAGGAACTCTGCCCAGTCGAAAATGTGAGTGTCTGGGTTTTGAATAGATTTCTAGCCGCAGGCACCATGCTTTTGTCTAGCATTTGGTAATCAAATCGTATCTGTCCGAGATTTGACTGGGGGCATGGGAGACAGGCGAAGAGAAAGGGGAGAGGCAGGAAGGACAAGGTGCCAAATATTGGAAACGGGCCTTCAGGCATCACGTGGAAGCGAAGATCAAAAGGTGTTATTACCGCCAGTGCGCTACAGCAGGAAAGCCCTACCTAGGTAGTTACTTACCGCCAGCTTTCATTGCCTACTCTACTAGCAACATGACACGAGTACAATCCAAGCATATTCATCATTTGCTCCTTCAAGCCTGCGTAAATAAAGACAGAAGGAAAAAGAAAAAAGACCTCCTCTGCGACACGCTTGATGTATGTTTCAGGGGTGTACTGCTTTGGCCGTGCCATGAGTCGAAAAATATGCAGTCATCGCGTTGTGATCTCGCTTGACTACTTTGCGGTCGTCAGAAAGCCATCCACCCGATCTGATAACCTGCTGTATGTCTGATCAAAAGTTTCATCTTCGCCGACGCAGATTCCGTAGGAGACTCTGGCATATCCCTCAGCTTGGGACGCGAGAGTAGGTGCAAGCTCTTGATATGCACGGCACAGAACCATCCAGCATGGCACAACGCCATCAGTCATTAGGCCCCATTTTTTAACAACTAATGGTGCATCTGAGACTTGAGGAATATTTCCACCTTTGATAACGAAGCCAAGTGATTCTAAACTCTTCAATCCAAATTCAACAGCCTTTTCGAATTTGCGGGATGAAGCATAGATCGCAGCAAGAGACAGATATGGTGAATCAAGTGCAAGATGAGGAACTTCAGAAGCCGGTCGGCAGTATGTGCCTGCGAGGCTGGAAATTGTGCCTTCAATCTTTTGCAAGTTCATCTTGGAGCTCTTGAATAATCTTCGAAGGTCGGCCGAAATTCTGTTCCGGTTTGATAGAACACTCCTGCTAAGACTTCGTGTGTCCTGGCATAATATGCAGTCGCAGTTGAAGTCCCAGTGCTGTAGGTTGACGGGAAATTCTTTGGGATCACAGGTCATGGGTGATTTGTACCAGAACGTAATTTCGGTGTTAGGAGGCAGGTCCCTTGAAGCACGAACTATCATCATGTCTCCAATAAAAGAACGGTGAGCATTGCTCATGCAGGAGTGATTAATGTATGACGCCATCAACCAAACCCCAGAAGAATGGAACTGTCCATTGGTCCTTTTGGCCATATTATCATCCCCTTTCATGCTGCGTATGTGACTCTCGCGGGAGGAAAGAGGGCACCCGAAACTGTTTAGGAGAATGGTTCGCTCAATAAGGAAGCTAGAAGGTGTTAGCTTTGGGATCAAGAAGGGGACGCAGTGACATACGTATCTACGACGGGTATAGCATCCACTTCTAGGACATCCACCGATTTGTATGTGCCATGATGAAGATCGACAAAGCCTGGTAGCAGGGACGGATTTTTGTAAAGCTTCTGACCAATCAATTCAATAAGCTCTCCTTGGGTACCAATCGTTGCTTTGGCCAAGTCGACGTTGAGTAACAGACGGAGATCTTGCGAGGCATTTTCATCGTGGAAAGCGTGCGCAAATGCCTTTTCGCAGAAAAGAAGGTCGCCTGCCTTCACCGCCTCCATTGTGAAGAGCCCTCTCCCATGAGATTGAGTCTGCTTGACAGTCACAGGACCAATGTAGGTGCCGCGGTCAAGCCTCGGGGGCCGACGCATGTTGGCCTCCAGTATCATTTTCCTGAACTCGTATTTTCCGCTATCCTGCTCCACAAGCCGAGCAGATGCTCGTCCGTACTCATGTGCAGCCACCGTGTTATCTGGATAGTTCTCTGCAAGTATTGCGTGAGTTTCACATGATTCCTTGAACCTTCGAAGTTGATACAGGGCTTGAGCCTTCCGAAAAAGAGCCTTTTCTGATAGCTCCGATACTTGCAAGACATCTTCAACATCTCTCAGCGCTGCATCAAAGCGGTAGCTTTTCAAAAAGGAAAGGGCACGGTTAAGCTGCGCTATCACCAGCAATTCTGGTGAGGGATGGGACTCCAAAGCCTTTGAATAGCTGAATTATTCTTAGCATTCCCTCTCAAACACAGCAATATTTCGCAGCTTACCATTGGATTGCCGAACGATAATCACCCTGACCAAAATGCTCGCTTCCTCTCGCCTTCCAAGAAGAGGGGTTCTCATCAGCCTGCATGACACGTTTCCTCCAAGATAAGGGAACCAGGTCGTCAAACTCGGGGATAAACCGGACGTCCGAGAGATGGTCAACTCGAATCCCGTAGTCTCCGTCTGCCATTACTTTCACATATGGTTCTTTCACAACAAGCACTGTACCCTCCCTAAGGCTCTGTGTGCCTGATAGCTGGTGCTCTTGGTTGTAGAGCTGCAGCATGAGAATACTCCCGTCTTCATCTTCTACGATGGCCATCACGGCGGTCATCGTATCTGCCTGAGTGACCGTTCTCAGGAGGAGATACTGTCCCCGATGATGAGTCTCAAGACATAGGCTTTTGATCATGACCTTCTTCAACTTGCTGAAGGGATTAGCACTTGGGGGGTAGGCAGGCGGTAGAAACGAGGATCGGATATTCATGTGATTAGCGGGAGCTTTCGTATTCATCATTTTCCGAAACATGAACTGCATCAAGATTTCATCTCTGGACCTTTGGGGTCTTGCTGGACGGCCCTTGACGGCTTGCGCGTTTTTCAGATTTTGCTTCTGTGCTTGAAGATACCTAAGGTACTCCGGGACATCGGAGACATCGTGGGTATCCATGCTGGTGACAGGAAGGCCGAGTTGTTCCAAGCCGTATCGAGTACTGAAGAGGTGTAAGGCAAGAAAGGGTTTGAACTGTCAGATCAGAATTTTTTTAAGAAAAGGAAGGTGACGGAAGAGGATGCGTTGTCAAAGAGCAGGCGGGATTGGAGGTGACAAGGGGGGTTGGCTGGCAAACAACGCATCGACCAAACAGGCTGAGTATTTTAAGACAACAAAATACTCGAAGTTAGCAGAAAACAGAAGTCCTCATGGATAAATCGCCCAACGCCGGACCCGGGGTGCACTCTTTTTCTCTTTGCTGCACTTGAATCCGTATACCTTCTCATTTACGCTTATTCTAATACTCGCGGGTAAAATCATCCATATAACGTGGTATACGTAATCCTCTCTTCGAGCCCTTGAGTTTCTAGTAGATATCCTTTAGGAGTATTTTCTCTCGAATAGCTTAGAAGAGGAAATTTTTAAAAAAAAGGTAAACTAACTATACGCCCTAGAGCTAGTTAATATTTATTACCTAGAATTAGTTAGAATAGGATTATCTACCTTAGGGAATTTGCACCCTCTTCTTACCTCTATCACCCTGGTCTCTAGGTTTCTCACCTATATCACCCACACTTACTCTAAATCAAGTTCTAGCGCCATTTAAAAAGCCTGACTTTTAGTATTGACCGCGTACAGTATATCGCTTAGTACGGTTGAACGGACAGGAAGCCCTATTTCCCACACCCTATGGCCGTATTTATCATGTTATGTGCGGGAGAGATTCGTAGAATGGAAGCCATAGGGCGATGGGATGGAAGGTTGATGCGCTATAGACAGGGTGAGAAGCTCCGATTCTCGGAGTGTCGAGTGTCCCATCCCATACGAAAAACAAAGAAACCACGACTGGCAAAGCAAACACCCTTTGCTCGACAGAATCCAGAATACTTCACACGAAAGTGACCCAATCACTGCTTCTTCTGCACCTGGGCCATTCTGCCTCCCTGCTCATATTGTTTTATGTACCAGAAGCATACCCCGTAAACTAGATCAAATCCAAGGAATATATAACAACACCATAACATGAGTGGGCTGGCCAGGAATCCAAAGTCCTCATGCCAATGCTGTACCCGGAGATAAAACTCAGGCACCAAAGCAAGGGAGCCTGTGAAACGCAAAAACCTGGTAATTTCAGCCACAAGCCTCTTTCACTCTTCATATGTAACAAGCAAAAAGAAGGGAGTACAAACCATAGACTAAAGGAGAAACCGCGCGTGCTCCCCCGTGTCAGTAGTTGGGATAGAGATCCAACACTCAGAATAGCTTGCAATATGATGGCTATCATGAAGCAGGCCTTGGTTCTTCCAAATTGCTTCGCAATTCCCATGTAGCAGGCTAACGACGTTCCGATCCCGGCTGCATAGATCATCGGCAAATTGCGCTTTACCATGGGGGCGTGGTCCCACTCTCTAGAACCATATCGGATGCCAGTGTAAGTCACTACGCTGTTGATAATGACGGCAAGTTGAAAAAAAGCCGTTACTCCCCAGTCATCTGTGGGGAAAATGAAACCGAATGTGATTTCCCACGCTATATTGAAACATTGGGAGAACAGTGGCATCGCGTAAGATCGATCCTGAATTGATCGTTGGATTAGACCCACGTAGACAATGACCCAAGTAACATTTGTGTATAGATGAATATACACAGACGTATTCGTCCATTCTTGGAACTCCAGGGGAGCCTTTGAAAGATCGAAGCTGTCCATTATTTGGGCCGTGATTGAATAATATGAGGAAATTGAAAGAAAGCCGGCGTGGATGTTGCTATAATAGACAATGAAAGGCTATCCAGCATGTGTAGGAATAAATATCTTACAAAGATAATACTATGAAAAGTACTATGAAAAATGTTTATACTGTAGAAAGTAAAATTGGAAATGTCTCATCTCTTCATATATGGAGGAAGTCCATATTTATGTGCTTCTTCTTCGTATCCCCCAACTATAACAGATTAGAAAGGAATCAATAAGAACCAACAACAAGAAGCAATATCTGACTAGATGTAGTCTGAACTGAAATGTCGAGATGCCGATGTAGTGTAATACTCATTATATACTAATGACAGCATAAGTATTGTCAAACTACATCCAGCTGAAGTCGCTGGTCTTCCTTTAGCAGGAGTCAACTTTCGGATTCTGCATACCGTAGATCTGTACCATGATCCCCGAATTAGGGTCGTCGTTAAAACCTCGAGAGGGAATGTTAATAAGAATCCGCCATTCAAAATCTCATGCGAGACTAAGATATTCAATGGCTGGAGTGTCCTCAGGCATCTATTTTAGTGGCGGCCCGTCCTGAAATTCGTTTCAACTAGCGGGATTGAACGGAGATTTAGTAATTGGCTACACAAAGGAGCTCGCTCGTATATCAGCGATTGGAATATTATTGTAAGGCTCTGTATTCAGCTTAATATGCCACTAAAATGACAACCTTACGCAGTAATTATGTATCAAGTTGGTCATATATGCCTGCAATGCAGTGGAAACGTAATAGTCACTGATCCGATTATGCTCTGAATAAGTAAGACGCTCTTTTAAACGGCACGGAATTCATGTAATTTAAGTTCTGCTTGTGTTATGCTTAGACACGAAGAGATTGGCAATTAGAGTATGAGCAAAGTGACTACTGTAGTGCATTTCACTATATGCGCAAAAAAGTCCAGCAAATGCGGCAAGCAGTGAGATTTGGTGGAGACTTGAAGTGGGGTTGAGGAGTGATAATAAGAACTTTTGCATTATTGCGAGGCTGATCGAACAAATTAAAATATATGCGAGGGGTGTTCTTCCTGTAGCATGGCGTGCTTACTGACCTACAGCTCATGGGCTTACAAAGACACTTACAAAAGACTGATTCAAGGCTTTTATTGAGCTGCTGGGAGTGGCTTAAACATACGATAAAAAATGAAGTTTTGACTATGCATGCTGGAATCGATCACTTTGATACTGACATGGGTATGGACCTTTGAGGGGAATGTTCATGGTGTTACTATACCGAAACAGGATTTTCTTAGGAAATAGATGCCCGCGGGTAGTCTTATCAAACGATGCACATGGGCCCATTATTGAAGAGGAAGCAATAATTGACACGATATTTAAAATTCGACTGCTTTCAACGAGGATGGTCAAGGTAAAGGCTGGGCAGTATATCAACTTGTGGCTTCCTGTAGTGAGCTTTTGGTCGTGGACGCAAGCTCACCCCTCCAGGATTATTTCGTGGTCATAGAAGAAGCAATCTATGCTAGAGCTTTTGATTCAGCCTGGCAAATGCCTTACCGGTATAGTTAGTCGTCAGCTACGAACAATCCGCTCGGATGGTTACTCCTCTGTGGCCCCCTCTGTAGTGGGCCTTATGGCCTCAACGAGCCTGTTGATGACTATGAAAACGTGCTACTTGTTGCTCTCGACCGTCTTGCCTTAAGCTGGGGCATTTATTTATGGATATAACACCTGTATATCGCGGGTTTGTCCAGTACATCTCATCTGGCAAGTTGAAAATTGTGGTAGGTCACTAAGAAGCATTGAACAAGTGCCCAGCTGATGAACTAGCAACCGCTATTGAGGCATAGGAGCATATTAATGGGCTATTGAAGGAGGACGTGGCGGATAATGGATACGTAGGTAACTCGTCACGTATATTGGAGTCTGACAAAGCGACTAGATACTCATCATATCTATTTACGTGGGAAACTCTCCCTCACTGCGTGAAAAATTGCTTTTTGGGAATCGTGAGCGAGCTTTTCTTTACGAACCTTAGAAGGAGCCCTGGAGTGGACCGAGCTGTCTAGGGAGAATATCGACAGATCATCACCTCAGCAGGGTGATTAGGGACAGACGCTTGTTATGAGTGAGATACCACTTCAGTTTTATCGGGATACCCAAAGGCTGACTCAAATACTTCTTGACAGGATCTACATCGGGAGAAATACGTGATAAAATGCAGGAGATTGTCGATCGCACTTGCATCAACGTTTTTAAGCATGAAAACCTTGAATACCAACCAGCAGGGAGCGGTATACCTAAGTCGATTCCACTCGCTTCCACTTATTGGTGTTTATTCTATATCCGGAACTGTGACCATCATCCAAAGCTGATTGGCTGGTACTTCTCAAGATGAACAAAACAGGGTGGTGAGGTGATGATCAAGGCACGTAGTCCCCATTTCTTATCGTCTCATTCTGTTCCCCGGCTCATCCATTAAATTACTCCCATGAAATAGATTTGTTAGCTGATGTATTCCTCGAGAATGGGACCAATTTGCCATATACATCCATTGTGACCTTCTGTCTGGGGTAATGGAGCTCCTTGATAGCTGTGACAACTTGTGATCCATAAGTGCTTGGCTCCGCTCGTGAGGGTGTTGTAATGGCAGAATCTTGGAGCAAAGAATCGACCATGGGGACAATCATGACCTTTTATGTGTTTGGGGCTGAAGCGGTCATGTCCACCATGAAAGATATATTCACAATCATGTTTTGATCATAACAAGATACTATCCAGCTCATCTTCCACCCATTGTATCTTTATCTAGCACAAGGTGCTCTTCCCATTGAAGCAAGCTTTGCCCTCCGGGCTTACAACCACTTCATACGTCTTGCAAGGTAGCTCCCACCACCCACAACACCTGTGACACCCGTGAAAGCAATCAATGATCCATATCCACTACCATATCCCCATCCAACATTTCCCTCCCACGGCAAGCCCTCGACAAGCGCTTCACTAAGGGGACCGGAAACCAAGTTCCCAATACCCCTTCCAGCCGCAAGAGACGCAAAGACCATGCTCGATTCCGCCGACGGCTTCTGGCTAACCACCTCACGCATGATACCGGGCCAGGTACTAGTGTAAGAGCCTGCGAAAAGGCCATATACAATGGAGAAAATGAAGAGTGGAGCCAGAGACATTGAGAACCCCCAGATGAGGAAGACGGCAAGAGTGGATCCGATGGTGTTGACCAGGATACAAATGGTGACGTCGAACTTATCGATAATAGCGCCCATAAGCACGCAGCCGACGACCGATGCTGAGTTGAAGAGGATAACAGTCAGAGCCTGGAGGGACGTCGAAGCTCCGAGCATACCGGCGTACGTCGGGAGGTAAAGCGACGGCAAGAAGAAACCAAGAGCCTCAATGGTATTGCAGAACTGGAAGAGAGCGAACGTGGATGTAAACAAGAACCGAAAGCTCGGGGGAGGTGGACTGGGTCGACTCGCGGGGATTAGCACGCGCGGCTTCACGAAGTAGACCAGCGGTCCGGTCAGGACGAATAGCACAACTGCGAAGCCACGTAGTGTAATACGGAACCCGTACTTGCCGAGCAACTGTTCAATAACGATAGGTAGGACAGCGCCGCCGAGTCCAGTGCCGGCCCACATGACGCCGAAGGCGAGGCCTTTTCGTCGGTCGAACCACTCTTCCATCAGCAGGATACAGGGGGCGTAGGCGATGCTGCCTCCGATGGCGTAGAAGATGCCTTGGGTTATGATAAGGTGGTTGGTGTTTGTGGCTAGGGAACTGAGGCCGAGAGCGGCACACATCATCAACACACCGAGACCACAGCCGAGGCGTTGATATCTAGGCCATTGTCTATAGGCGGCGAAAACGAGGGGGATGTCGAGATACATGATTCCCTGGATATGTTAGCTTATATTGATGCGGGAGCACAAGCATGTATATTCTTACCATAGCGCAAGTTCCCACGACGGCGATATTCCCAGAATCTTTGAATTGGGGTATATCGCTGTAGTATGCTTGGAACACGCCGTATGTGAATGCGAATCCCCAAACGAGAGCCTCCATAGCGAAACAAGCAGCTAGGAACAGCCATGCGTTCATTCCGCCATCCATCGGAGGGGGTGCGCCATCGTGGATATTCGACAGGTGAGTACCATCAGTTGTCCCCTCTGGCGGTGTCTGGACCCCCTTTTCGGTCTCGCTTGCTGACAACTGTGAGCGTGTCACTTCCTCCATTGTCAAAACCAATTCACGACGAAGAACCAACAAGCAAAAGGAAATATATCCAAGAAATGAAGATGAAGTCAAGTACAGAAGGTCGAAAATTTCATACGCTATGTCAATTCAGATTCAAACAAAGACCCTGCGGGGGAGTCATCCGCAGGGCGTGCCCAGATGGAACGGATCATGTTATTGCACGGGCCAATCAATCGTCGGTGAGAGGCCAGTCTACCAGGATGTCCAGTAGTAACCAGTGAGCGTGGAGAATCTCTCGTCGGAGGGGGGCTGACGATGGCGCTAGCAGCTACCTAGGTAGACTTCTTTGTCATTTATCAGCGTTCTGTGGGGTTATATTCTCAGCAAGCTCCACTTGGGATCCCGAGCTAAGCCCATTAGGGAAATTTCCGAATGTTCCTCTGCTTTTAGACCTCTGCTTTCAGACCGTACGTTGTAGATGTAAGCTCACTGGACGATGTTCCGAAAATGGTCTAGGGGGCTAGTGTTAAAAAGTTCGAGTACAAACAGTAGCTTGAGTTTATCGTGAAGGCTGAAAATCTTCCTTGAAGTATGATATGAGACATCAAGTCGACCTGCATATTTGAATCTCTCAACGTGATTTCGGTGTGAGATGACCGATGATCGGCCGCTAAACCTTAAGCGGCATTCCGTTTTTGTCAAATTTGCCCAGGCCTGGTAATATTATTTTTTCCTATGTGGGCAATCGCTTTTAACTCGCAACGTATGCAGTCTGGTTGTCTCCGTATTCTGAGATGACGTGCTCCGGCAACCCCGATCCTGAATTAACTCAGGTTCCCGGGTCCACGCAATTGACTTTAGCGCTGAATCAGCTGTCAAATATCTCGACTAATGCGGAGACAGGAAACTAGCGGCTCGGAGTGCAGCAATCAGCCCCCGAGGCCGTCAAAAGTACCGAGACTGGGTTGCATCCACTTTCCGAAATAGGTGGCCCACGACAATGGGAGTCCCGCTACTCCTGGATCTATATATCTTTGTATCTACTGTGCAATGGAGGCATTGAAGTTGTGGTGATTTCATCGTCATTACACAGATTCTCATCATGGCAGCTGTTTTAGACGCCACTAAGCTACGCATTTTTCAAAATGAACAGCCTGCTGTAGTCCCGAATCCCGACAAGATACAGTTTGGAAAGACTGTCACTGGTATGTTTCCAACTCTGGGGGCAACAGAAAAAAAGCTGAACACCATCAAAGACCACATGCTTCAGATACAATGGACAGAGTCTGAAGGCTGGCACGAGCCCCGCATTGTTCCCTATGGAAATCTGAGCATTGATCCTACCGCCGGAGTCTTTAACTACGCCTTTGAGTGCTTCGAAGGCATGAAGGCATACAAGGACGCACAGGGCCGAGTACGACTATTCAGACCAGAAGTCAACATCGCACGATTGAATCAATCCGCAGCTCGAGTCTCACTCCCAACTTTCGACGCCAAGGCCTTTCTAAATCTTCTAATTAAATTTGTGGCGATAGAGTCTCGGCACATCCCAGCGTAAGTGACCCAAGACATGGGCGGTGGCGAAATTTGAATGCTGACCATTGTCGTTATCAGCACCCGAGGGTACTCACTCTACCTTCGCCCGGTCTTGATTGGAACAAATCCCGGACTGAGTGTGTCCGCGCCGACCTCGGCTCTTCTATACGTGGTCGCATCACCCGTGGGATCGTATTTCCAAAACGGACTCAAACCGATCACGCTAGAAGCGGCCAGCAGCTCGCAATGGGTGCGTGCGTGGCCTGGAGGGAGCGGAAGTCACAAAGTCGGAGCCAACTATGCCCCCTGCATGGTGGCGGAAGCGGGGGTCCGACAACGGGGCTCTGATCAGGTCCTCTGGCTCTTCGGGAAAGACGATTTGCTGACAGAGGCCGGAACTATGAATTTGTTTATCGTGCTCCGGCGACCGGATGGGAGTCGTGAGCTCGTGACACCGCCGTTGGATGGTACGATTTTACCCGGTGTCAATCGTGATTGTGTGCTGCAATTGGCTCGGGAAAGATTAGAGGTCCATGGCTGGACGGTTCAGGAACGGAGTATCTCCATGCGTGAGTTGGAGACTGCTAGCGCTGATGGAAATTTGGAGGAAGTATTTGGCACAGGTACAGCGGCTGTTGTCAGCCCGGTTGGATCTATTCGCTGGAAGGGAAGGACGATCAGGTGCGGGGTGTCAGCACAGGGTGAAGTGACGGCCAAGATGAGGAGATGGATTGAAGCTCGGCAATATGGCGAAGATGAGCATGAGTGGAGTGTCTTGGTTGATGAACTCAGTGAGAACTCAGATTAGACCTATCAGCCATAGAAGAATATGCACGTTTAGTTTACAATGTCAGCGATTAGGTCGTGCATGGACGCTAAGCCCAAGTGGGCCTATAGGCCGCTCCGAATACGGGCCGCTCCGAATGCGGCTCGCTCCGAATGCGGGTTGCCCCCACTACACAACATAAATCGAAGCACAACGTTGTATTTAACCGAGGTCGACCAGGATAAGAGCCACGTGTTTCTGAGCCTCATATGATTATTGAAGGTCATATATGACGGTGAGACATGCAAATGCAAGCTTGGGATTTTGTTGGAACAACAGGTTAAAATAAAATACCAAGTCTCAGATGATTCTATTTGCCAACTATACACTTAACCAGGGTAGTGAGCAGCGTTTCTCAGAGTCTGATACTCCAAAGCCGTCAGATCCTCGTACATCGGCTTCTGATCTTGAAGGAATTCCTTCAAAGGCCCAACATTCACATGCCGGTCGGCCTTGTTGAAGTAAACGAGACTCCACCGCTCCGGAACCGTCTCCCCTTCACACTCCCGCGGACGGGTTACGCGGTGGAGACCACCTCCAATCTGGCCGTTTGTCCAGCGCTGCATGGTCTCAGAAACAATGACAACAACTTCCTCGTCTGAGCCGTACGGCATGGGAATGAAAGTGCCAGGGTTACTCCGATCCTCATACTCCAGTCCCGGAGTCACGTCTGGGAACACGAGTGAGATAATTCCGAAGTCCTTGTGGGGCCAGATACGACTTATTTTGCCGTCGTCCAGTGTTTTGCGCTCAATCGGCGGGAAGTGGTTGATGCGGATTGTGCTGGCCTCATTGGTGCATCGGGAGGTGAACACCTTCGGGTCGAGAGATAGCGCCTCGGCCATGGCTTGCAGGAGTACTAGTGTGAGGTCTCCGCATGAAAAGAAAAATCGATCCATCGTGTCCTGGTACCCAGGTAGGTCTGACTCGGGTGGCCATACGTTGGGGAATTGCTTGTCGTCGGGGTGTCCGCAGTCAAAGCTCTCCTAGAATGACTGTGAGAACTAGAAGAAATTTTTCTCAGATATGGTGTATACCTTGTTGTCGCCAAAGTTAGGCTCCTTTATCTCCCCATTGTTGCTCTCAAGCCACCACGTCTTTTCCTCTCCTGGGACGCTCCATCCTCGCTGCTGTCCGTTTTTGGGGTCATTCTTCAAAGGGCCTTTGACTGCGTATGGGAGCTTGAAGAAGGCTTTAATCTATTTATTGCGTGTGTCAGTCTTCTTGCTTTCCAATGATAGAACGTGGGGATGTTACCTGATCAAAAGTCTCCTGGACAAGAGGAATGGGAACCGTGTGATTGACAAGCTTTGCAAAGCCATACGTGTTGAGACTGTCCAGGAGCTTGGTGGCAAATTCGGCGCGCTGCTCAGCAGTCCCTTCAGAGAGAGCGGATGCGTCAAGAACAGGAATGGACATAATAACAATGAACAATGGTCAACAACTGAACTAGACTTCTTGGTGGGCTCTTTCTGGACCATAGAATGACTTATAAGATTACAACGGGTAGTCAGACCTCCCGCCCCACGGTCTACCCCGCCAGCAGTCTTGGAGAACATGAGGCCGATAGCGCAATCGCGAGTAATCCGATTTCTCGCTGTATCTAATTTTCTCTAGATATCTCGTTGTCATGCAACTGACGAAAGTCCGAATCTAGAAAATCCTCAATACTAGGGCTTATGCCCAGCTCATGCCAAGACAAAATTACATGATCTGGCCACCATTGAAGTCCCTTATTGGTGGGGAGATATGCATGCTGTATCTACCCATGCAAAGTGGTGGCTCAAACTCATGTAGTTCCGAGAGGATTTGTTATGCTTACTCCTGTCATGCGTTATATGGCTTGGCAGACAATAGGCTACACTGAGGCTGGTCAGTGTTGCAATGCTCTAAACGAGGGCCAAGAACTACACTTCGCCCCCGCACAGCCTACTAAGGCGAGGACAATTAACATGGGATTATCACAATTTTACAACTCGTATACCGTACGGAGGAACTACTACTGCCTCCCCGACAGCGATATCGGAGCATGCTCGTCCAATGCTAAGGCAGGACTAGGTCACGGAATGAAATTGCACCTTGGCAATTCGCAGCTGAAAGAGTGCCGAGTTTACGGATTGCACGAGACAAAGAGACAAGATGATTGGGAAGATTATTGGGGTGTCTTTATTGGCCTTTGACATGAGGGGTAAAACCAGTCGAAGTATGCTTTAAATGAGAACATGTACGCTGCGGGAAGGAAGTGAAAAAGGCCGAGTTCTGTTATTGCTGCTCACCATGCCTATGTATGTATGTTCGGAGACTGGAAAGTCGTTGATCAACCCAATTGACCAGATTTAGGCTTCGCAATCCCTCCGATAAATACGATGCTTTCATTCCTCCAGACCTCCCAGATAGGACGTGGCCCTCCAAGCGGATCACAAAGAGACCGCGTTGGTTGGCGACGGACCTCCGTGATGGAAATCAGGCTCTTGCGTGTCCAATGGTATGTGAATCTTTGGCATTCGGATTTTCAAGACATTAACATCTTCCTAAGAATATAGAACAAAAGTGGGAGTATTTCAAAATGCTCCTACAGGTTGGTTTCACTGAGATCGACATCTCATTTCCCAGTGCATCCGACACGGAGTTCAATTTCACTCGTAGTGTCGTCGCCTCTGCACCTTCAGATGTGTGGCTTCAAGTCCTATCGCCATGTCGAAAAGAGCTCGTTCGGCGCACAGTTGACAGTGTCACCGGCGCAAAGAAGGCAATCATCAGTCTTTATATGGCCACTAGTGATACCTTTATCCAAACTATGTTCCAGTCGACCCAAGAGGCTGTCTTGCGCACTGCAGTCGAATGTGTCGAGTACACCAGATCAATCACGAAAGATGATCCAACCCAGCAAGAGACCACCTGGAACTTGATGTTTAGCCCTGAGGCATTCTCAGACACAGATTCTTCTTATGCGATCGCCGTTTGCAAGGCTGTCAAAGAGGCATGGGGTCCATCAGAAGATGTCCCAATAATCCTCAACCTTCCTGCCACCGTGGAGCGCTGCACACCCAACACATATGCAGACCAGGTGGAGATTTTCGCGCGTGCGTTCACGGGCAACGACGTCGTGGTATCTCTACACCCGCACAATGACCGAGGCTGCGCCGTCGCAGCGACAGAACTTGGTCAGCTTGCTGGTGCCACGCGCGTCGAAGGCTGCCTTTTTGGTAACGGCGAACGCACTGGTAACGTTGATCTCGTCACCCTTGCACTCAATCTATACAGTCAAGGAGTTGACCCGGGGCTCGACTTTTCTGATCTGCCTGGAATTCGGAAAACAGTTGAAAAGATCACTCAGATCCCTGTTGCTGTGCGCGCCCCTTATGCCGGCGAATCTGTATTCACGGCTTATAGCGGGTCACATCAGGACGCCATAAATAAAGGTTTCAAAAAGTGGCGGGACGCTGTATCACTGGACGGTCGCGGTATCTGGAAAGTGCCTTACCTTCCTATAGACCCGGAGGATATTGGGGCTACTTATGAGGCTGTCATTCGGATTAATTCGCAAAGTGGCAAAGGAGGCGTGGCATGGGTGCTACAGCGAACCTTGAACCTGGAGTTACCCAAGGAGTTCCAACAAGCGTTTTCGAAAATCATCAAATCCGAGTCTGAGATGAAGGAGCGATGGCTTACAGAGGCTGAAATTACACAATCGTTCCTTCGACACTATTCCATCTTGGAGATGGATTCTCGGATTATTGAGTGTGATGTGTCACCCAAGCTGGATGGTACAGGCCGTGTCATCATGCGCGCCATTGTCTTAGTCAGGGGGCAACAACGGGAAGTCGTGGCCGCGGGTGAAAATGCAGCGGATGCAGTCTCGTTCGCATTTTCGTCTTTGGCAGGGCTGAATTTGGAGTTTGAAGTTGTACCGCGCAGTATTCAGGGTAGCCTTGGGGAACCTCTGGTTATTGCACTAGTCAAGTGCCGGCATGTGTGGCGTGCTAGGGCTGCTCGAGATGGAGATGTTGCTATCGCTTTGGCGTGTCTCTCCTCTGCTCTGGTAAGTTTATGCTTGATTGTACTGCTAAAGTTAGGTACTGACTGAAAACAGGATCTGCAAGAGGAGCTCCCCTCCAACCGACAATCTTTGAGACTTCTGCCAATCATTCATGTTAACTGAAGAAATCTCAGCCACCGGAAATCTTGCCGGATTTTTCTTGTTTTGCTTGCTAGCCATAGAGACTCAAATCCAAATTGCTCACCTGAAAATGCGTAAAATTCCTGTATCCACCGCGTTGCAAAACTAACTCATTTCGTGTCGACTGGAAAACTTTCCGTAACAGGATGTGACATCCACTCCAACTTGCGCCTTTGGCCATAACTAGTAGGACACATTTATCGTAGGTGAGCGGGACTAAGTTTGTAGCAAGAAAAACAAATAAACTAATAAAATCAGAAGGAAATGTAATCAAAACACAATCAAAGTGCCCGACATCGGATTCGTGGGGTATATATACTCGGCATTTCCCCAACCCAAGAGGGGTATCTATAGATACTAGATACCTAGGTAGCGCCTTCAGATTACCCGCACTCATCACATCGGGGCCATGTCTTCTACACAAATTCCCTCAAATCAGATAAACAGACTCGCCCTTCTCCCTGGTGATGAACCCAGCACTCAGATGGCAGCCGTCGCCAGGGAGGTGCTAAGTTTCATCGAGACCTCGAGACCAGGGGTTAAATTCGACATTACCGAAACTCTATCTGGCAAAGCCACTCACGCTGTCAACCACCAATCACTGAGTCCTTCCACCTTGGAGGCATGTCTGGAGTCAGATGCTGTGGTAGTGTGCGGGGTTAGAGAGGAGCTTGTCAGAGGAACCTTGGACTTGCTTGGAGAGGTCGGCGCTTTTGCAAACGTCCAACCTTTCTTCTTTCCAAGCATTGGACTTGTTTCAACAGGATCGCTGAGAAACGGTGTCCAAGGGCTAGATATCACCCTGGTCAGTGACGCTACGCATACGAACACTGGAAATGAGGTTTCCCGTGAGACCATCGAACGGCTGGCGCATTGGGCAGGAGCCTACGCATTGCAGTTTTCTCCGCCAAAGCCTCTTCATTGCATTGAGTCATTGCCACTTTGGAATTCTGTTGTTACTGAGGTGCTCAGCAAACAATTTCCACGTGTCCCACTCCACCATGTACCGATACACACGGCAGCAACGGCCCTAGATTTACACCCAACTAGATTAAACGGCATTGTCTTGACAACTGGTCCTGATGGAGAAATGGTATCGGAAAAGGCAGGAAAGCTCATCCAAGGCTCACAGAACCTGCTGGCGTCGGCGACCATTGTGGATTTATCCAACCAGACCCACAGAAGGAACCCTGTGATCTTGAGATCGGGTAAAACCAGTGCGGATGAAGCAGCTTTGGACCCAGTTCTAATTTTACTGGTCATAAGCCTGATGCTTGACTTGTCGTTCGGTCTAACTGCAGAAGCCGTGGCAGTCGTTAGGTCAATTCGACGCACATTAGATCCAATTGAACTCATCGGCTGCAATATCCGGACCCCCAGCGCTGGTGGTACAGCCTCTTCGGAGGAGTTCATGAGCAAATTTATGACGCATTTGGACTATTACTTGGAGGCCGCGAGTTCACATGTAGGTTCTCGGGAAGTACTGAGAGCCTCGCCCTCCCCTCGTCCGATGCGTCAAAGGCGTCCAATGGGTATAATCGAAAAGATTTTGACCCATGCGGCTGTTGGGCTGAGCAAACCAGAAGTCCAGCCCGGCGAGATTATCTGTGTCAAGGTTGACTGGACATTGACTTCCGAGATTCTCTGGGCAGGAATGGAGAAGACATATGACCAAATGGGAAGACCTCGTCTGCATCGCAATGACCGTATGTGGCTGGCGATCGATCATACCGTTGACCCACGCACGAATCATCGACCCCGACAGCGAGGCTTGATTGAGAAAGCGGAAAGCTTCCAACGGGAAGCAAAGCTCGTCAACTTCCTCCCTGCCAATACAAGTATTCTTCATACTGACTTTACCCGCGACCGAGCACTGCCTGGTCAGATCATTGTGGGCTGCGACTCTCATTCCTGCTCTGCTGGTTGCGTGGGAGGGCTGGCCGTTGGCCTTGGAGCTGCAGATGTCGTCATGCCGATGGTAACGGGAGAGACCTGGTTTCGTGTGCCGGAGATCTGCCGTATCAATTTCATCGGCCAATTGCCTTTTGGGGTGGGTGGCAAAGATGTGATTCTTCACATACTCGGCCTTTTCAAACGAAACACGATCGCCTTCCAGCGCGCGGTTGAATACGGCGGCCCGAGTTTGAAAGAGTTATCCATGGATGCTAGGTTCGCCATTGCGAATATGACAACTGAATTCGGCGGGATGGGCGCATGTTTCGAAGCTGATGAGAGCACC